CGGATTATGCAAATAAAATCGAGCCTTGTAACTCGTACAGCAGTTGCCCTTTTAACAGTCTCTTAAGTGCAAACAAACATGATAACGTGACAATTATTTTGTAACATGAAATAACAATCTTTAGTGATGCTTAAGAGTCACAACTCGAGTGCAAAGAGTTAATTTTGACCCGTAGCCGAAAAGGGTTATCGGTACCAAGCCTGCGTTGCAATAAGAATGACGAACGGTCCTAAATAAATACGATCTTGTCATTGTTCTAAAAAAATAACACGCGTTAGCTACTCTTAGGACTCGGTAGGTTTAACGTTAAATCAATCGGATACACTCGATTTCACCCAAGTGTCAAAAAAAAAACCGACAAAATCTCAAGAAAACGGAAGTCGCCTACTCAGCTATGAAAAGTGTGGTCGGCCGTTATCAATGGTCAGTTGTGGACAGACCAGTTCGGAAGAAGTCCTAGGAACAACCGAAAGTTATCTCGAGGACAATTTGTCAGAGAGAAGCCGCCGCCTAGCATCGCGACGGATCCCGAATTTGTACAAGTTCTCTCGTAAGTTCTGACCGAGGACGGAACTCGCCAGAGTATTCTGGAGCCCTGGGTCATCTCGCATTCCGAGTTTCGAGCAGGATCGATTCGGTATAGGGCTCGGTCGTTCTTTTGGTTTGCGGTAATGCGGCGCGTAGTCGGTCGGCTGGAAAAGAAGGAGGCAAGAGAAAGAGCGAGATTTATCGAAGTTGCGGCTTGTTACCGCGGGCTTTACACTTCCGGTGAGCCTGCCAGTGTGGCTGTCTCTCTTTCCCCTCTCTCTCTTTCTCTCTCTTTCGCTCTCTTTCTCTCTCGAGTGCCGCGATAAAGGAGCTAGCAATTGATTAAGAGGGTCGTTTGCGCCAAGGAAATGCTACTTCAAACGCGACCCCGATCCAAGCGGCTTTTCAGGCCTCCTCTATCCCGCCGCTTTGATTCTTTTGTGCCCCGTCTCGCGTCAAAACTTCCACGGTAATCTGCTCTCGGCCCGGGGAACGGCTGCGAAAAAAAACCACGGTAAACGCTCCGCCGGCCGAGGAGAAATCGTGCAGGTATGGATTTAACATTTTATACCGGGTTATCTCCGGCTGCTAGCGAGATCCTGCCGTGCGTCTCCGTTTTTTGATCGGGTCTGACTATCGGGTCTGCTATCTGTCTTCAGGGTCCGCAAGACTTCTTTCCAAATACGGTAGAAACTGGGTTTATATCGCCGGGGTTGCAAGCAAGAGCGCCGCGTGTCACATATTTTCACTTTCTAGATATTGTTACGTAAAGTTCTGATTACTGATTTCTTTGTATTGATAACGTTTTCTCATTTTCTTTTTAATTTGTCGAGCCTGTCGAATTAGTTTCCATGATTCTTTCCCGATAAGTACGCGAATCCCATATTCTACAGGGTGTCCCATAATTATGTTAACACACGGAAAGGAGTGATTTCTGAGGTTATTTGAAGTGACTTTTTCCTTGGCGAAAATGCAATCCGTGCGTTTGTTTACGAGTTATTAACGACAAAGAATGACCAATGAGAGACGAGATGATCTATATGGCGTTTCGTCCGAGTACAGTGAATTATCTCGGAATGGACTGAAGCTACGAAAAAATGTTTATACCGAAACTGCCGATGGTGGAGGACGTTTCAAGGTCAACTTGATCCATTCAAACGAAGCCATACATTTTCTTATTCGTATTACGGCTGTGCTCAGTTCGATTCCATCACGCTAATGTCTTTCTTTCTTCTGGAAACTAATTTTACTATACTCCAATTTAATTATGTCAAACTGTTTATCGACGTATGATTTAAAAGAATTCTATGCAAGGTATAAGTATACGTGCGAAATTAAAGATAAAAAGATGATCTCGTGATAGGATCGAACTCCGGATGAAAAATCTGTAGTCAGGTTTATTATGGTATTCAAAAAATAAACGAAACGAAAGTAAACAAAAATTTAACCTGTCTTGTTCGATTCGATATAACGTTAATTATATCCGAAAACAAACTAAATCAGAATTTTTAAATTCAAAAAAGTGAAACATCCAATTTCTTGAAATAAAATTTTCGAACAGTATTCGATTTTAAAGACTCTGGGTATCGTTGGAATTTCCCCTGCGTTCACAAAGTGTCTCTCGTTCAAGAAAAATATTGAACAACGTGCATTGTTGCATTATTAAGAAATAACTTCGCCAAATATTGGCACATTCTGAATAGAATATTTTCGCCGGATATTTTAAATACGCATTCGAAATGCCGGTTTAAAATATTCCGCTGTCTGCTGCGAATTATTTAAATGGAGAGATTTTCCACGAGCTTTCCGTCTGACATTTCGTGGCCTAGTAGAATTATTGCTTTATCCGACCGCAGGAGTGTCGAATAAAATTGTGGCATATTTTAATTACACTTTTTACATATTACAAACAATACTTATTCCGGCGACTGAAACGGCGGAATTGCGGTCGCTCTCGTTTTTAAATTATGCATTAACCAGCCCTTTATCGGCGGTAGATTGTAAACCTGGGCGTTCGGTTCGGTTATAATGGCCGATTGATTTTCAGCGATAAGCCGCGCCGGTAATGAATGTATTTTACTGATAGGATAATCGAAGGTTTTTTAATATTCTGCCGTTCTTCGCGATTTTAGGGCAACTTTTACGATAATTCGGCTCGGTAATGCAATTATGGCTGGTGTCCGTTTATCCCCGAAATTATTTCATTTTAAATGAAACGTTGATGGGGAGGCAAATGCTCTTTTTACATAAAATAATCAATCACGCGTCGCACTTACATTTTGTGCCTGAAATTATAAATTATAAACGGTCTACGAAATCATTTACGATACACGAAAGTCTAATTTTGTTCAAGAAAGTACGTCTGCGTACAATTAAGACATAATGTACGATTAATAAAGAGAACTTTGTGTGTACGAAATTGTTCAAAAAATTCATTATTTATTAGTCCGGCTTTTTTCATTGGCCACGTTTAATTCTACAGTCTCCGACGATTTACTATTTCGCACTTGTTCGCTGCGAATATTTATGATCCCCGCAGTCTTGTCAACCGTGCAACGAGCTAATGTTAATATCGTGTTCCGAATTCGCGACATCGCACTCTCGGCAAAGCGCAACGGACGATCGGCTTATCGGGGAAAAATGCTTTCCGCGAAAGTATCGACGACAGCGTTGCGCAGGGATCGGCGTATTTCAGTAAAATAATTCTGCATTAGGCCCCGCGGCTAATCTAGTCGGAGCCACGCGTGCATACTTCGAGCGCGAGAAAATTAATTGCGATCCGAAAAATACGAGGGGACAGTCTCCCCATTATAATAAATTCCGGGGTAAGTTTCGCGAAGGCTGTGACCTCGGCGAAATTTATGCACCGTATAAGCCAATTATTTATCGTCGTTGCGGCTTCGTGACCCAGGAATCGTCGGCCGTGTAACTTGCATCGATCTACCACTGTAGATCGGGCAAAAATATTCTTTGTTCCATTTATCCGATAAATTTAAATTACGAGTCATCGATACCGTCGGAATTAGAATCGAATTTCCGCGGACGTAATGAGGTTAGTCGTAAATTATCGATGCCGACGGATCGTGATAATCAATTTCCACGAAATGGAGATGTTTCAAAACCGGCTTATAGTCGCGGTCCCTTTTATTTCGATTGTTTCTAGCGCAAAGGTTTTCAAATCTAATCCCGGGCTAAATCTAATTCATCGTTCGGATTCAGGAATACCTCGCACATTTATCGAGAACGTTCGTATCAAAGAGCTTAACTGGAATTAAAGCACACTGAAGCGTATCCCTAATTTCCGATATCAAAATTTGAATGGTTCATCCGTGCTTGCTTCGAATTCCCTCGTTAATTATAATAGGTTAAATTTTTACGTAAATTGGAATACGCCGCAACATCTGTGTTAACCATAAATTGAATAATTGACGAAAGCCAATAAATCGAAAGCCAAGTTCCCCGAAACTATAGTGTAGAAGTCAAAATATTTCACTTCACGTGTTCGATCGTATCGCGAGAGCATCAACAACGTTCATAAAATTCACAATTAAATGATGTTTTAAAGGGACGAAGTTATATTGTTCATCCTATACGGATGCTTATAGTTCAGCAGCGAATATAATTTAGCATTAACTTGTCATAATTTAGCATGAATAAATAATGCATGCATAAACAACAATTCATAGTGCTTTCATTTTCCTTTGACTACAAACAATATTTTTAATCGGCGGAAGAGACATATTTCCCTTATTGCAGATTATATAGAATAATCGACGAAAACATAAATTTGCATAAACGTTCATAATCTAACTGCGATCTATGCCCAAAGAAATAAACATATTAATTAATTCCGCCTAAACGCATCTTCACCAAAAGAATACAAAAAATTTCATTGAATACACTTTTCTTTGAAGAGCACAAAATAGTGATTGAACTATAAAGCGACTAAACAATTAACGATGTAATAAGCAAAAAATCGTTCATGATATTGATTAACGGAAACAAGAGATCAGATAATTTTCTGTGCAAAATTCATCTACAATTTTATGCGAATTTAACACTAAATCTACCACCGCCGGTCAAATGACCGGTTTCACATTTTTTATCGCATGATTATTGAAGTAATAAAGCTGCTCCCATGAAAAATTCTTGAATATATTTCTTTATACTCGGTCACGCATTATTATAAAAATTGTGAAGTATTTGAATGAATCCTATCTTGTAATTCTTGTGAGGCAATTTTTGTTGGTCGCTTTTGGACTTTGGTAAGTTTGGCGTTAATGCGAACGCTTGGAAAGCGTGTAAAAATGTACAGCCATTGTTTCATAAACTTTGAAGAGCTATAAACAATTATGGTCCTAGATCATTATGTAAAGCCTCCATCCTGACGAGGTCCTCTATTCGAGGACAATGGAATCCGATCTCAGGATCGTCATCGCCGCAAAAGCAAAAGAACAATTGAATAAACTTACCTGTGCCAGCAGATCCTAGCCTCAAAACGGCATCGCTTTGAAGGGAGATGGAGAGGGTGGCGGTGTCTTCCAGGCGTGCAAGAACTTCTTCGGGAATGTCCTCGGGTTCGCGGAGGCGGAGGGTGACTTCACCTCCGCCTCCGCCACCCTGACCACCTCCACCCCCCGGACTCGTCGACGCCGAGTACATGAACACAGATCCGTACCCATGTAATGATTGCAACGGCAGCCTGACGCCGCCCACTTCCCCGACCGGACCCTGAAAAACGACCGATCCGTGTTAAGAATAAGCTTCTCCAAAAGTTTCTGCTTAGCCGTCCAATCGACATTTCACCGCGAACTATCATTTTCTGCATTATAGATCAACGTAGACGCGATTTATTTACTTAATCATACGGTTCATTCGCGTATTTTTTTAACACTAGAACAATCAGAACACTAGAACTAATCGATCAAAATGAGTCGTTTCTGATTCTTTTCTTTTATAGTTCTTGATATTTATATTACGGACTTTATGCATTTATAATGAAAATAGGTACATGAAATTTAAAAGAATGAAAATGTTGAATGAATTTGAGGATTTTCATATTATTTTCAATTCAGTGAAATTGTTAAAGAAGTAAGGAAATTATCTTTTCGGCTCACGTTTGTTGCAATTCACGATGCAGTCTACCGATATTATAAAAATGTTTCTGGGAGAAATTTTTAGATAAAAAGAAAAAAAAAATTTCTTTGTCCGAGCACATATTATCAGAGACTCTGCTGTAAACATTATTGCTTATTGCTTCTACCATAGCTGAAGTTTAAGCCAAATTATTAATGTTAAGTTCAAGCTTAACAAATTAAGTTTGCGTTATTAATATAACTTTCAGTTACATTATTGTAATAAGTTTCAGTTAAATTGTCACCGTAACGTTACACATATGTGTAACTATGAAATATTTTGCAATAAAAACGTTACATCTAATTTCTCTATAAAAACTAATATCATATTTTAGTGAGAGTTTGACGCACTCCGTGGTCCGTATTGTCGTCACAAATTCGGGTGTTCGCAATGAAATCAGTTCTCTGATAAACTCGTGGACCTTACAATTTATTCAGGTGTTCGCAACATTGCGAATACGCGATTGATGAAACAAAAGAATACTATGCGGTCTTTTTCGACGTTCAAATATCCCAAGCAGAAATTTTCCTAAGGTATTGACCGTGCGCTTTCCCGAAGGTTTCGCATGTTACCGTATCGAAACACGGTTCAGCAGAGCTGGCCGGACCCACCGTATTTAGGTATTACAGTGCAACAGTGGAGGCTTGAATAATTTTTCTTTGAACGTGAAAAATGAATCATATTCTCCGGGGAGACACCCGGTACCGTCTATCGCCCGCGCCTGGTTTCCCATTCGTCGTTCGCGAAGCTTCGTGTATCGCCGTCGAACGTTCTTTTACGCGAAAAAATATTTTGCCAATTTCACCATCTATGCAAATTTCCATTCGCGAACGTCAATATTTGCTGAATCGCGTTGAAAAAGGATTTCGATGTACCGGCACTCGACTCGCGCCGGCGAACGCATCGGCCGCGATGGCTTCCCTAAAAACGATAATACTCGATGTTAAAATACAGAGCCGTCGTTCTCTCCGCGGCGACGAGAAAGGAAGCGGGAAAATACGCGTTTACACGCTCGTCGAGTGCACTCGCGAGCCTGTTCATAAATTACAAAAAAGACTTTTTAACAGAGCGGTCTGTTTACTGCGCGAGATCGAAAGTAATCAACGATAATGTTTATTTTCGACACGAATACTCACTCGGCTCTGTGTCCCGTCGTTGTATTGTTTACACGAAAACGCGCTCGTTACGATGCTCTTTTGAATATTACTGTAACTTCGTTTACGACGACCGACGACTGAGAATTTCTCGAAAAATAGGTCGAAAGCGACGATCATTTTAACCATTGTATTACATGTATTAACCATGTCACTAATTCCGCTGTATCCGTCGTGAAATGTTATCTTTTCTAACGTTTATTTTATTTTTATCGTTCCGGATTATAATTTGAAAGAGTCTAGTAGCCCGTAAATAAATAAATAAATAATAATAATAATTGTTATGTGAAGTAACATAATGCAACGATTCCTTTTGAAATTACACGTACGGCAAAATGGACAATTCGAAAATTATAGGGTAATGGAATCGATTACAGTGGAGTCATCAATTGTTGTGCTTCTGCTTTGTTCTCGGGCACAATAATAATAATAATAATAATAACTTTATTTATCGTAATGTAGTTTTATAATAATGTAGCCGTTACATAAGCACGGAAAAATAGAAAAACTTCAAAGTAGAAAAGAAAAAAGGAAAGAAAAACATAAGAGCGAAAAAGACGAATAATTATTCGAATGTTACATGTTATTGTTACACGCAGTCGAATCGAAGTCTAAAATCATCTGCAAGGTGCTGAAACACGATGTATATATATACCAGTCGCAAACGAAGTAGTGACCGCGTCGGGGTATCGTCTTTGCGAAGTTAAATCGGACTCATAGGCGCCTAAGTTGGCGATTTGACTTTCATCGGGACAAGTTCGAGGTCCCGCGACTCCAAGAGACAGGTCGGCCGATTACGGTAATGGATTTCTGGGGGATCTCTGGCAACTCGGCGACGTGTTACGGAAGTATCGATGCCGGTATCGATGCTCGAGCTCGGTCAAGGGCGAAAATTCCGCTCAGATAAATCTAAGGCAGTCCCGGAGCGGCTGACAGAGGGCCGATAAACATATCGGCGACTCTCACGAGCTTGCGACCTCTTGCCGCCGCTCTTTACGGGACACTTTTACCGCCCCCACATGTTTTACGACTGCTTCTTGCGTTTCACCTGGCGCCCTTCCGTTCGACACCCTTTTACTTGGCGTTCAATTCATACGGTGATTCGTCTCCCCGTGGAAACGACAGTGTTTTTTAACCAGGGTGGTAATTTGTCACTCTTTTATTTCGTTTATTTTTCGATAAAAAAAAGTAATACGTCTTAATCGATGAATGTAACATTCATCGCCGTATCTTCGACATTCGAGTGCAAAGAATTAAATAAAATACTTTAATTGTATGAAATTTTCGAAGCGGTCGGCATTCAAAGTGTCGCAAAAATTAATGTACGGAAGCCGATCGGCTCTTGCCGTGTTCTTTGCTAAAAAAAAGCAACGCTACGAATTCGCAGCTTCGTAAATCACGTTCCATACGAAGACGTAATTGCGAATGAAACATGTGAATTGTAACAAATATGCGAGTAGACGTTAAATAAAACTAAAATTGAAAAAATGTGGCTGATGCTTTTTTTTAGCGCAGTCGAATCGAAGTCTAAAATCATCTGCAAGGTGCTGAAACACGATGATATATATATATGATGATTTTAGACTTCGATTCGACTGCGCTAAAAAAAAAGCATCAGCCACATTTTTTCAATTTTAGTTTTATTTAACGTCTACTCACATATTTGTTACAATTCACATGTTTCATTCGCAATTACGTCTTCGTATGGAACGTGATTTACGAAGCTGCGAATTCGTAGCGTTGCTTTTTTTTAGCAAAGAACACGGCAAGAGCCGATCGGCTTCCGTACATTAATTTTTGCGACACTTTGAATGCCGACCGCTTCGAAAATTTCATACAATTAAAGTATTTTATTTAATTCTTTGCACTCGAATGTCGAAGATACGGCGATGAATGTTACATTCATCGATTAAGACGTATTACTTTTTTTTATCGAAAAATAAACGAAATAAAAGAGTGACAAATTACCACCCTGGTTAAAAAACACTGTCGTTTCCACGGGGAGACGAATCACCGTATGAATTGAACGCCAAGTAAAAGGGTGTCGAACGGAAGGGCGCCAGGTGAAACGCAAGAAGCAGTCGTAAAACATGTGGGGGCGGTAAAAGTGTCCCGTAAAGAGCGGCGGCAAGAGGTCGCAAGCTCGTGAGAGTCGCCGATATGTTTATCGGCCCTCTGTCAGCCGCTCCGGGACTGCCTTAGATTTATCTGAGCGGAATTTTCGCCCTTGACCGAGCTCGAGCATCGATACCGGCATCGATACTTCCGTAACACGTCGCCGAGTTGCCAGAGATCCCCCAGAAATCCATTACCGTAATCGGCCGACCTGTCTCTTGGAGTCGCGGGACCTCGAACTTGTCCCGATGAAAGTCAAATCGCCAACTTAGGCGCCTATGAGTCCGATTTAACTTCGCAAAGACGATACCCCGACGCGGTCACTACTTCGTTTGCGACTGGTATATATATACATCGTGTTTCAGCACCTTGCAGATGATTTTAGACTTCGATTCGACTGCGCTAAAAAAAAGCATCAGCCACATTTTTTCAATTTTAGTTTTATTTAACGTCTACTCGCATATTTGTTACAATTCACATGTTTCATTCGCAATTACGTCTTCGTATGGAACGTGATTTACGAAGCTGCGAATTCGTAGCGTTGCTTTTTTTTAGCAAAGAACACGGCAAGAGCCGATCGGCTTCCGTACATTAATTTTTGCGACACTTTGAATGCCGACCGCTTCGAAAATTTCATACAATTAAAGTATTTTATTTAATTCTTTGTGCACTCGAATGTCGAAGATACGGCGAACACATTATTATTTCTTTTCATACCGTAAGGTAGTCGTGTAAAATACATACAGAAAAACGCGAGATCTTTTATTTATTAGCTCCTATAAAATTTCGCAACGGTATAACGGTTTTTATTCAAATTCGATTTTGTGTTAGAAAACCGCAATTTTTATATTTGCTCCGAGTTGCTGGTAGGTATATCATAAAAATCTTCCCAGCGCTAAGGATCGATGAAATTGAAATTGAAAAGTTAAGTTGTATGATATCAACTGTATTTTACTTGACATATCTAAGCATAAGAGCAAAGTAAGTGCATGTAAGAGTAAATAGTGTGAGTGCTTGTCATTTATAGTCCTTAAATTTGTTTTAAAATTTTGGATCATCTCTTCAAGGAAAATTTAATAAATTATAGGGGTAGATTTTGAAAACAAGCAAACACTGGGATTGCCTAATGTAGAGAAAGTATATAATTATAAAGGTATATAATTACTTTCATAAATACTATTGTACAGTGCATTCGATTTGTGCTGAGGAAACAAATTTTACGTGCCCAACGTGTGAAGAAAAAGAACATAAATATCCTGAAAAATCGAAACTAAGTCTCATATTAGAAACCCATTTTTCAAATCTGTGAACTTGCAAACTTTAAAC